CAATATTTCATCACATATTAAACTCTTATTGTGAATTAAGCACTTTTTGCCATTAGTAGATATTGTTCACAATTGCTATTCATTTCTCTGCTAAAACTCATTACCCCAAATACTACACCATATTGCACTTGAATTTGAAATCAACTGTTGGTATCTTTTAGTAAAGGATAATACGGTGTCTTTATCAAAATACAGAAGCAACCGTAGGCTTGTTTCGTATAATATCTTGCATCAGTGGTACGACCCTTACTTTGAGGCAACTAAAAGTTCTGGTCCACGGTCGATTTTGCAAATCAGAACCGGAACCGAGTTCAACGACTACACTACTACCTCCCTCCATACCCAATGATAGTTTTGACATATGAGGCATCGTAGTGGGACCTTACAAACCACTTCGTCAATTTAGAAGCACAGAGCTCATGCACCCCACCTGGTTATACCTGGTTATATAAGAAGTGTTATATAGTCTGCCTAACAGGACCATCTGAGGCACAGCACAAAGAAATTATGCTTCTTGAGCTGTAAGCCACAGTAACATGGAGGATTTAAAATATTAGGTAGACAGATAAGTAATACTTTGTGATATATAAACATTATTCCGTTGATGCACTCCAGAATAATTGATTTGAAGAATTGAAGATAGCACTGACGGTTCACATTCCATTTTTATACGATACTGTAAGCTTACAGCAATAGAAACAGATATTTCATTCTTCTTCTTGCCTCAATTTGTACTGTTTTGAAGCCTTCACCCAAACGTATTTCTTGACCACGTCCATATATCTAAATAGCAATATTATTCGACACTTGCTAACTGAATCAAACAGCAAAATATTATGAACTGTTTCTAAAATGTTCATCCTAGCACCAACGACATTACGACACTTTGTGATACCTTTAAAAGTCTTCTTCTTGTCTGTCCAAAAAACCTGATTGAAATGCATTCTCACCTCAATTGTTGTCACCCTTTTCCTGAAAAAGAACTGGAGTTAAACAGGAGTACGTATAGTGGAAGGAATACTCGATATAAATATATTTTCCACAGTAACAATAACAATAAGAATTTCGCGATAGCAATAAGAGAAATATGCTTTGAAAGAAAACGGTTTCTTTGCCGATGCGAAAGAATCCAACCAAAAAATAAAAGAAATCACCTTCTCTTCTTTTTCTACAACAAACTCATAACATATTATAAAAAAAAAAAAGAGAAAGAAAATAAAGATCTGAAAAAGTTGAGTCCTAAATAGACGTACGTTTCATCAATTTTATCGATTTGAAGATCGACAAGAAAACTTTAATTCATAATATGCAATACAGCGATACCCATTGAAACTGACGAACGATATCAAAGTGTAACAAATTCTCTCCACTACTCGACTGCACCAAAACATGTAGAAATCTGCCAAAAAAAAGATGACCCGATTAAAACGCATGCGGAAAAAAGAGCCAGTAAGAAAAGTCATAAGTCTTTGTAATTCAATAGGTGTAAAGCATGACTATTCTAAGGTAATAATGGCAATAATTTTGACTTCCATCTCAAGTTAGTAACAAAGTCCACCAGTTAAGGTAAAACGTACAGTAATAAGATGGAGTATAAATTTCTCACATCAGTAACAATGGTTTACCACAGAGGATTCAATAATAATCAGCTAATAAGTGAGTCACGAACATCATGTGACCAATGTTACTTGTTATAAAAGTGGAATAAAAAAGAAGGATAAAGCTTCGTGCTTATTTTTTGATAAAAAAAAGTGGGCGTAAATATGGGAGTTGCATATATTGTTATCAGTAGATCCAGCTGATGGTAAGCAGTTCATGCAG